CAATAATCATAAATGTTACGCTGGGCAAAAATGTTTTTAGACATTTATAAAACAAACACAAATCTGTGTGACAGGGTTACCTAGTGCAGATGCCAGTCTCCCACAACAGTCTTGAGCAATTACTGTATTAACCTAGTACCTACCTATTACTTAAAATTTGTGGAAGAAAAAATAAACTTTATCTTATTTACCAAATGAAAAAGTGTGATGCAGCAGATACTTTTTAAATAAAACAGCGTTGTTATATAAAACTTTATTTAATAATATCCACCGCTGCGTTTATTTGTATGTGTACATAGAGTGGTCATTAATAAAGAAAATGGTTTAAGATTAAAGTATGGATAACTCAACATGACATAACACATAATTTTAAATTAGGAATACTACGAATTCGGAACCTCGACATTGTTTATCATGGTTTTATATCAGCCAGTGATCGCCATGCTGTTTTTGTGGTGCCAAACCTACTTCATCATACAATCAGTAAAGCCATTCCCTGGGGAGTTATTTAGTTTACATATATTTTGTAAATGTTATCCAAATCGCACAACATGAATGTTGAAAATTCACAAAGTTGATGAATGCAAAATATAAATAATGTTAGTAAAAGATTTAATTAACATAGTTTCGATAGTAAAATTTGTACAGTTTATAACACTATACATTCTTAAAATTACTTACAGCGTGACATTTTTTAGCAGTGAGTGGGTTTTTAGAGTAATTTTTTTGTAATAAATAATAATTTTCCTATCAATGACTATAAATACTAGTGCTTTAAATGTTGACATTGCTGAAGAATCCCTTATGTAATATCAGGGTTAGGTACACGATGTTGTAAGAATATTATGTCTTTCAATTGATTTACTAAAACCTAGTGCGAGGAGCAAGCAACCTTGTTTTGTAAAAACCCTTAAAAGTTTCGAAACCTGCCGGCCCTTGATAAGAACCGGTCCTGGGGCCCTAGTGCGAGTTTATTTCACATCAACTCGCTCTCGACGGCGACCGCGTTCGTGGTTGTGATTGGCCCGCAGAACTTTTCAGCAATCGCAACGCCGGTGACGGTCAAGTTGATGTGAAATAAACTCAAACCAGGCCCCCAGTACACACTTCGCTATGAAATTAAATCGCTTCAATAATTACCAGTATTACTAGCACCTATATATATATATATATATATACCTATATATGAATGAATTAAATATTTGTTTTATATTCGATTACAATAGTGATAACATTTTATAATTGTTCTATCTGTTCTGTTTTGGTATGCGATGACATGTAAATTTAATAACATAAACTCATAGGAATTCAATGTTTCTACTATAATAAAGACTCAGTAGCAACTAAACTGAACTATATAAGATAAGTCTATGCCAACGCAGTGCTATCAAAGTTTATAAGTTTTCGAAACTATCGTTGAACTCCACTCTGGTAGGTACTTGTCACATTAGTAAAATCCAATTTTACATATTTTACTCTCAGACCATAATAAATGAATACAATAATTTTTTCCTGAAGTATACATTTTGTGTTTATCAATATGTATTTTTATCTAATACTTTATATCTTGACATGTGAAGTCACGAAACCTACGCACAAAATGGTAAACTAATTGGTTACTTAATATAAACTAATGGTTTACCAATTTCTGTAAAATTGTGTATTTCGCACTGAACAGATAAGCATTAACACTTTATTCACACTTCATATTATTACTTTCTTATTATTATAATTAAAATACATATTATGAAAGTTATTTTATATATTTTTTGTTTATATAACAATAAAAATTTAATTCCTTCATTATTGCAATATTTTTCTATTATAATAGTTCTGTTACTTACTACTATTGCTTTAAATTGGTGTTAACTATTAATGGTCTATGTTACATATTTTTTTTAACAACGCTTAATATTAAAGTATCAAAAAAACATTGTTGTAAAGTTACAAATTGTAAAACACAACTGATATCGACTGCAAAGATGGCGTAGTGGTTTAAGCGATCACCTCGCCGCTTCCTACTGCGCCGAGTGTTGTGGGAATTATTTGATTAGTTAGTAAGAATTATCTCTAAGAATGTCGGTTCAGCGACAAAAATACTTTTAATTTCTTTAATATACAAACATGCCTTATCTTACAACAACTTAATTAATATTAACATATCAACTAGTATTAAATGCCAATAATGGTTCAAGTAAAAATATCATGAATTTGGTGGTTTCTACGTTACCCTTCTCTTGTTCAAGGTTCACGAAAAAAGTACCATTGCATAATCACAATCAGAGACAAAATTGATACTCATTAATAATGTTTACTGTTGTGATATGATGTTACTTACTTTATTGCTATTTATATTACCAATAATTTATTTGTTACAATTTCAATGATTGTTTAAAACTTTTTAAATATAATCATAATTCTAGCAACAAATTACTTATTATCCAATTACGCTAATACATAAGGCAACTTCAACCACAAATCGACTAGCCCTAAATACATTTTTGTGAAATCTATTTTTGTGCTGCAAAAGAGAGCTATTCGAGCACTTTATAATTTAGGCAATCGTTGTTCATTGAGGCAGAAATTTAAAGAAATAAATATAATGACAGTGGCAAGTCAATATATTTATGAAAATGTAATATATGTTCACAAAAATAAAGATAGCTTTTTGAAAAAAAGTGATGTACATGCCATAAATACCAGAAATAAAAATAAATTTGTTGTACCCGCCTCTAGGCTCCAAAAGATAAACAAGTCTTTTCGAGGTCAATGTGTCCGATTTTATAATAAAATCCCAAATAATATTCAGGAGTTGAGTATTAACAAATTTAAATCCGCAATAAAACGTGGCTTGTGCCAGAGGGCCTACTACTCGATTGTGGATTACATGGAGGACAAGAATGCTTGGGATTAATTAGCAGGCTATTTCTTTCTTAAGTAAAAATGTGGTGTGGCTAGTATGTTTTTTATTATTTTTTCTATTTTTTATGTTTCACTTTATTTTCTCTTGTATTCGTTTGTTCTTCTTAATCTTGTTTTCTCTTCCTTGTTTTTTCACCTTTAAGTCCTTAATAACGGACATACTAGCACACATCAAAACAATGTTGTGATATATTTAATAGTGCCATTGTATCTACTTGTGAATTGCAAAAGAGTGGCCATGAGTTTGTTTGCCCTTTCTTCTCATAAGGCTCAACCCCTTGGAAACGGGCGGTTGTAGATCGGCACAGGCATAGATTTTGTATGGGTTTGATTTTGTTAAATTTATTTGGTTACTATTTGACAAAACAGAGATTGTTGCTTTTGTGTGTGTTGATCTATGACTTTAGAGTCTACATGGAAGACGATTTCAAACAATTTTGAAAATTTTATGAAATAAAGAAAGTTTGAGTTTGAGTTTGAGTTTTACACTCTAATTAATTGGAAATGTCTCAGAAGAAAAAAAGAGTGTCAGTCCTAATCTAAACCTTATTTTGTATCTCATATGAATTGAAGTATATTATTTTAGTAAAATACATGTTTTTGATACACTTTATGGCAACCACTTTAACTGCCATAGCATTTATATAAATAAAAAAAATTGAGCTGTTAAGTGTACGCTTCAAAAACTCAAAAAGTACTGCACCGATTGAGCTCCAATTTTGACACGATATACAAGACTTCAAAAATAGTTCTAATCTATTTTTTGCTACCCTACGCCACAGCTAAACGTGCCAGGTTACACCTAGTGCTTTATGAAATTAAGCATTACAGGGTTAATAGTGTTTCATGAATGTGTAACAACAACACCCTCCTTGGGAGATGATGTAAAAAAACAAATGAAATACAACTTTAAACTGCAGTAGCTTAAAGAAGAAGGTCTGTGTACCTATATAATATGTCGGTTCTATGATTGCAGTCTACTTGGACTTCATTTCATATGTAACACAAAATAACTCTCAAACCTTTCCAAATTTCGGATTTCATTGGTCGACTGTTGTCTACTAGGAGTCGTGACTAATCAGCTTAAAACTTAAATGATTCCTTTATATAAAGCATAGCATTCACATTGTTTGACTTTACATATATTTGAATTCTTAAGTTTGTTTCTTCGTAAGGCTAGTCGTAAAAATTGCAGACATCATCTAGCTTTACTTAATAAAGTGGCTTGTAAAATTGTCTGAAAAGATCTTTTAGTAAAATAAATAAATTTATTACTTATACCAAGCATGCTTCAGAATATTTCCTTTTTTCTTATAGTGTACATTTTATGTGAATAATTTCCTGAGTGTTCTTCTGTTATTTATTAGACTAAGAACTGTTACGTTTATGAATGATAATAAATTTGACAGGACCTAAGAAGCAACAGGTGAAATAGTAAATGGTCTACAATTAATTAAACAAACATTCTAAGACAAAATCTCAACCCGATTTTTTTTCAACTTATTGTTTCTTAAAATTTCCTGTTAGGCTGTCTATTAATTTTAACCATTATCCCCCTAACAATAACTGGATGACAAATTTTGTACAAAATTCAAAGTCTAGAGCACTAAGTAATAGTATTTATTATCTGTATTAGTATTAATAAAGTAAATAATAAAATACTATATCAAGTTTTATAATTAGAGTATTTTATTCATCATATCACACAAATAACGCTAACTCAATTTGTTTGTATTTTCTATGCTATGCAAATTGTGTGAGAAAACATATGACCAACAAAATTTAGTATTTTGGTTTAATAATCTGCAACAGAAACTAATTGGCAACTGAATGTTGATCAAATAGCTGAGATATGATCTTATAGGACAGGTCGTAGCTGGTCAAAGTAACTCCACAGTATCAAGGGTTAAGAGTTGGCTTAAAAAAAAAAACTACCCGAAGTTAGCAATAATAGTGCTTTAACGCTGCTTTAAATCTTCGCAATATGTAATCACTACATTTTACAGATCTTTACTTTAATCTGTTGTGGAGACTTTATAACTAAATACCACCTAAAAAAAATATTTATATGTACTCATCTAATCGTCTTTACTAGCTGAAGATTTAGAATCTCCTTCACTATCACTCGACCACTCCCCCTCACTATATTCTCTCTCCGTCTTCCTCTTTACTCTTACCAATTCTTCATCCGAGGACTCCTGTCTAGTCAAGCTTTGTGGTGTCTTTTCCACATCTTGTAACCCCAATTCTTTAGTGGGAGATGAATTTCTCAACTCCTTTAATGTATTGGTAAGATCAATGTTCAGAACTGGAGGGTCTTCTTCGTCAACTTCATTGTCTTGCTTTCTCTTTTTTTTGTTCTTGGAGCTGTGTTTCCTGTCCTTCTTCCGCTTTTTCTTTTTTGAGCTGGAATAAACTTCATTGATTAAAAATCGATAAATCTTAAATTTAATTTATATATATATTTTAAAGGTCACATCACAAGAAAATGACATGTTCAATCAGCAGTTCAGTTCAATATGATCAGTAATATTATTCTCAAGGGAAAATAAAATACTAGTTATGTTTTCTTCATTTATATTAGTTTAGTTTAAGCATTCTATCAATATATATATTTAATTAAAGTTATTTTAAATGTTTTAAACATACTGTCAACTAGCAGATTTTAACATTAACCACTTTTCTACAATTCTTCTATTATTCAAATACTAGCTGTACTATTTGGTAACACAGATAAAACACCAGGTACTTATTTATTGAAGCTAATCATTGAAGTATTACATAGTTATAAGAAAAGGTGATACTAGATAATAAAGTTTACCTGTCATAATCCGAGTCCTCGTTCTCATCAGTTGACCTGTAAAACCAATAGATATTAGGTTTTTTATGGTTTAAAGTGACTATGGTCGCCCATGGAAACCTGCATCTCGAGATTCACAAATGCGTTGCTACCCTATCATTATATGTAGATATGTATATTGTCAATTAATTAATTTTATTATTGTTTATTAATTAAATAAAAACCGAATAAACTTTATTAACCAAATTTTAGTAAATAAAGCTCTCGTTCGACTTTTATTATGGTCGATAACAGTAATTGAATACAGTTTTAAAAAAAATGACAACCTTGTCGGTTGCCTTTGACCAACCTTCAGTGGTGAAATAACTTACTTGTACTTTCTGCGTTTACTTTTTCTATGAGATCTCTCATTACCATCTCCATAATCTAAAAACATAAAATGATTCGTAAAAACATATACTTTTAAGTTAGTTCATAGACAACTGATAGTAAGCGGTTACAGGCACCAAGGATATTCAAGTACAAGTAACGTGTACGTGTCGTAAGTTATTAAAGTGAATTGGGGATTTTTGAACAACAAACAAAATAATGTATTTTATGGGAAAAAAAACATTGCACTCCTGACACTGTTACAGTTACCGAAACTTCTTAAGGCGCGTTGGGCATTTTTTGAGATGGGAAAACAATTGAACTCGCGACACTGTTACCGTTACCGAAACCTCTGCATGTAAGTTTTTAGTTCTGTCGGCACTCCCTGAGTGCGACTGTTTTGTTAAATTGTTTTGATAGGGTACAGTGATGAATGTCAGTGTGCGAATAAATCTTTTTTTATGGTATAAAGGGGGCAAACGAGCAGGCGGGTCACCTGATGGTTACCGCCGCCCATGGACGCTTGCGACTCAAAACTCATAAGTGCGTTAACGCCCTTTGAGTGTGATGATATTTTTTTGTAATTTTCAGTTTGTTAATACTCATACCGTTTTTCTAAACTGGAAGACGCATCTTATTTAAGATTTACTTGGTAACATTTAACTTATGACTATCAAGGATTGTTTAATTGAATCATAATCAGTATCGAACCTCGTCTGTCGCGGTGACGTCTCTTATCGCGTCTACGCCTTTTCTCTTCCTCTTCTGCTTTTTTCTTTCTTATTGACTCCAGTGTGTCAACCTTAAAAAATTATATCAACTTAAAAATAAATTAATTAACGCAAACATAATTAATTTGAGTTCAAAACGAACGAAAACAATTAAGTTCTGATCAATGTGGAAATGGACCCCTTGCTGTAGTGGAGCTACAGTTATGATGACGCAAAAGACCGCTCTAACAGCTCTGTCTATCGCACATATTAATAGGGTGTAAGCCTCTGTATTTACAAGAATGTTGTATGTTACGTGAGGGTTTTATAATTAAGTTTTTATATAACCATGTCTTCCCAACCAACCAACCTTCGGTAACCACTGAAATCGATAATTCTCTTTTGTCAAAACAGTAATAATTATAACACTTTTCTAAAGCCGGGCCGGCCATTGGGCACGCTTAGTGGCTTAAGTAGGGTGAGATGTGTAAAGTTATTATTGTTACTTCTTTTCTAAAGGTCGGTGTTGGCGTTACGTCGCGCGCATGACTATTTCATTCGATTTATTTTGTTAGGATACAATATCGCCAGAAACTTTCTGGAATGTCATAAAAGACAGTTGTAAGACATAAAGATGACATACCATAGCACTTGCCAGCGAAGAAGTAGGCAGTTGTGCAGCTGAAGGATCGACACCAACTTTCTTCAGGAACTCGGCGGCGCGACGACGACGCTCCTGTTGTTTAGCGCGCTCAGCTTCGGTTTCTTCCACTGCAGATTAAGTTATATATTTTTAGCTTCTTTTTCTCCACAATGGTGTCATATGATTAAGTAGAATATGAATTTTAGATCGTGAGTCGATTAGGCTTTAAACTAAAAGTGACTATGTAGTAATATCAATTACGCCGTATTCATACGTATACAAACATATTGTGTCAGCAAAGCAGCCAGGGAAAACAATTTCATTTTCATTACATTACAACAAGATATAAGTTGCTCTTAACCGCGACTTTCTGCTAGATAACAAAACTTTTTCGATGCTATTAATTATTCGTTTAGAATATTTGATTTAAATATATACACCAACTCACCTTTTGAATCAGATTGGTCACCCGTCAAATCAATTAGATCATCAGAATTATCCTCCAAAGAAATAACTTCGTTCTCCAAGTCATCCTTACTGTATTTACTTTTTTTGTTTTCTCTTTCTGTATCCTTTTCTCTCTTTTTTTCTCTTTCCAGACTTCTACGCTCGTTGCGTCTCACTTCCCTACTTTCTGATTTAGACCTGTACTCTTTTTTCTTGTCTCTATGTTTCTTTTTTTCTCTTTTATAAGGACTTTCTCTATCTTTTTCAAGTTTCACTTCTTTCGGCTCTGGTGTAGGATTTTTTACTTCTTCAACTGCCTGTATGGGAGGTTTTTCTACATCTACAGGAGCTTTCTCTTCTATTATGGGCGCTTTAAGTATTTCTATTTTTACTTCTGGTTTAATAGTTATTGGTTTAGCAGGGGGTTTTATTACTATAGGTTTTGGTGGTTCAATCGTTTTGACTGCAGGGAGATCGTTGTTCAATTGTCCATCTATCTTGTAGACCACTACTGGTGGCATCAGGTTCATAGGGACTGGTTGCACCACTTTAGGAGTTTCTTTGATTTCTTCTGGTTTTTCAGGTTGTTTATCATTCTGTTTCTCGGAGTCTTCATCAGAGCTCGATTCGTAAGGTAAGGCCGGCTTCGGTAGAATGGGATCAGGTTCTTTAAGTTTTTTGATTGAGAACGACACGGGAGCTGTGTTAGGTAAATAATAACATTTTATAATGAATATCTTTAAAATAGCCAAAAATAAAGTGTTGCACTTATTAATACATTAGCCCAACAGTTACAACTGCGTTTTTAGTCGTAGCATGATTTTACATAGCCTTACTCAAATTTAACTGATACATTTGACATTGATGTGATGTCCAGCAATGGACTATTAAAGGCTGTTGATGATTTGATAAAACAATCAGATGATAAATCTCTTCAGCTTTCTTATACTTATCGTACTTTACTCGTAGAATAAAGTACCCGTATAAATATAGCTCGCCGACTAAGTGAAGTATTGATCCTCACCAATTCTTCAAATACGAATATCAATTTGTTTGTCCGGCCCCTTTTAACGCCTTTACTATCTATCTATCTATCATCACGAGCGAACTCACGGCCGATATTAGACAAGACAAGGGTATATTAACTTAGTCCTTTAATGTCTACAGTTTCTCATAGTGAGGCATTCATAATTAGGTTGTGGACTTTTAGTCACAAATCAGTCAGGTTGTCAGGTTTTCTGATTACTTTAAGAAAATTTACTAGTTTTTGGGCATGTGTGTAACACAGCAAGTTAATTTTTTAACCCTAACAACGAGCGAGAACGCATATTTAAAAATATAAGAAATATTTTAGTTTATACATTTGTACACCTAGGCCATGCCAATTTTTCACTTATTTTTAGTGTGAAATCAATTTTTAAGTTTATTGAAATCCTACGAAACACATCACGAAATCTTACGATTCATTTTGTGTATTTTGCTACAATCTTTTATTAATAAAAACAGTAAAATTTACAAACCGGTGGATTTCTTTTTCTTCTCTTTCCCATTAGTTTCCCCTCCCCTTTTCTGTAGCATAAGTTTCTTATAATATGCATGGTACACATTGTCAGGGTCCAAAAACGTGAAGCGAGGGTCGTTTTTAGCACGCACTATGTTTACAAACTCATCGCCATTTCTTGCAACGTATGACGCCATCTTGTCAATCACTATTTGAACATCATCAGGTGGTGTAGCAATGGCGGGTTCCTTGCTGTCAGTGGAAGAGCTGTCGTCGAAATCTGTTTTTAGGCGAAACGTAATAAATATTAGATAAATACTCAGTTAATCGTAATAAATTTTTTGATGGGATCTGATAGATAAATACGAAATCCAAAATTTATGAACTTTTATGAGGAGCCTATGTTAAGAAAAAATACAATATTTCAACATTTAAGTAGGTAAATTTCTTTCATAACTTACATTGTATGAAAATAAGACTCATACATCACCAATTTTAAGTTGTGGTTGATGCAAGGAAGATAGAAAATACGAAAGTTTGGATGGATTTTGTCATGCCAAAATGAGTGAATGGATGTACATGACATTTGGAACTGATATAGAATAATCTGGCAGAGCCCATAGCATACCTTTAATCCTAGAAAACCTCATTGACGAAATGGATATTAACGGGAGCAAAAAGCTAGTTCATTATAAATTTAAACATACCAGATGAATCAGAATCCGAGTCAGTATTGTAATGCTTCATGAGACTCAATCCTGTAGACTTAAGTGGACCGGGAGTCAGTTGCTTTTGTTGCTCCTGTTCCTGGGCCAAATTTTGGGGGTAGTAGGTTGCATATTGTTGCATGTAGTTTTGTGTTACAGCCGGTTGCACAGTTGGGTCAACTGTAAGGGCGAATACATGTTAATCCAGTCTGATTACACTGACACAAAAAGGCTGAGTAACTTACAGCTGGAAATCAAGAATGTTAATAGATTTAGTAAAGACAAAATAAGTTAGGCAAAGGAATGTGTTTTTCTATTACTTTACATACGATTGATCTCAAAGTATGCTATTGTAACCAGATCACCCAAACACAGAACAAATGAATGAGCTTAACAGACAATTAATTATCATGAGTGGTAATCAAAACCCCAACCACTTATCACTCAGGTCTATTGCTCCTATCACATACAGGAAAACAATAGTTTAATTAGAACTTTCGTCACATATTAAGTTCGTATGTTAAAAGACGTTTCAAGAATCGGTTGAACTCTGATTGCCTGAAACTAGTTTTAAGTGCAGATCAAAACTTAAGTATCAATCTTATTTTAGAACTTGTTTTAAGTTCTACTCAGTTGTAACTACTTTTAAGTATTGATTTGACAGTATGTTCTCAATTACGTTTCCGCATGATCGACAGTATCATTCCGTATTACGCAGATAATTATTTAAGAAAAAAACTTTTACTAACATAATTTCTGTAAATGTGTATTCAGTATACTATTTGCTAGTGTAACAATGTAAGTATATTAACAAGCTTATTGTTTGTCCCAAATGAAATATAATAAAATAAAAATGACTAGTTATCAGCTATAACGGAACATTCAAGTTATTTAACAACACTTGTCATATTGAATTGTCAATGTTTTTATTTTATATTTCTAAATTCTATATATATTACTATAATAATATTTTTTAACATAAACCAAAAGGTTGTGGTGATTTTAATTAAAACAAGTATTGTGTGGGTTAAATGTGAACTTCAGTGAATTTAATATCAATTAAGATAAATTAAAGTGAATTGAATATGTGTAATAAGTAATTCTTTCGTAAATAAAGTAAAGTAAATCTTTTGTAATCATTCAGAAACAAATCATTGAAAACACATTAATTTCCCCTAAAATGCGCATGAAATCACCACTTGAGACTAGTTTCACTAGCTAGCTTATCTCACGTAAAAAAAGATCACATCTGTCAAAATCTATACCTGAGTAAAGATTTCGACATAAACATCGTTCTAAAATAAGTTATCAGTATGGATCAGTGAATCTCGTTTTAAGTGACATTCAATAGTAAAATCTCTACTTAATTTTAGTTTAAGACCATATTCAAGACTGAGACACCTACAGGTCTCAGTAAAATTATCATGCTACCTTGAGTGATCATAACAGTTAAGTTGTTGGCAAAATATGTAAATATATTTTACCATGATTTCCATCAGCCCCCCGTGTGTACATAACCGGTGCTCTGTATATCTCTGCTGTGTGGCGCGGAGGTTCTGTCCCAGGAGGCGGCACGTCCCCACGGGCTTCTCCCTCTCCTTCACCGTCCCCTTCGCCACGCATTTTGCTAATTAACATGGTGTAGTCACAGTCTGCCGATGGCTTGTAGTGTATACTCGGGATTGCTGGCGCCTGAAAAAGACAGCTTATTTAAAAACTACTATAGTTAAACCGCCGTAAGCTTGGCCCTCCTGATGGTTTGGGGGACGCGGGGCGGGGGTGCATTCAACCAATTAGCTAGCTGTCCGCCGGCAGTGACTGACGTGAAAGCATGGCTGTACGTGTTATTTTTCTTAAGACTGCTACACACGGTATTATTTTGCAACATGGATAATCTGCCGACTCTGCGTCACAAAAAGATTTAAAAACTTGAAGTTCGGCTTACAGAGGTTCTACTGTTAAAGTTCTAATAAAGAATGTTTATTATTTTACTTAATTTTTAAATTGTATCTGAATATAATTTACATGATGAAGATAAGGTTATTTTATTAAAATTGTTTTACAGTATTAAATTTTACAATTAATCATAAAAACTTACAATACACTGACATTATAATACATGGAAATAAATTAGATTTTTATTACATCGTGTGTAGATTAAATCTCAAACAAATAAATCTGAAGATATCGAGTTAGTACATGTATAGCCGAGCGCATCACCCGCCCCGCGTCCCGCAAACCATCAGGAGGGCCAAGCTTACGGCGGTTTAACTATAAGTTGACATAAGGTTTACGGCAACAATAGATGAAAATAGGGATTATGTGATTAAAATAAACGATTAAGAGGTATGTTTCGTGTTTAAGGAAGATTAATTTAGTTGGTGTTATTTGTCTAGAAACAAAGTATAATGAAGTGGTTGGTCTAAATTTTACCCAGTTGTACACATACTCATGTCAAATTATGGAAAATACTCACATAATAATAATATTTCGGACTTCTGACACACAACACCATCTAATTTCAAACTTAACAGAGCTTTTACTATGAAAGCTAGATTGACTTATAGAATACTTTTATACTTTTTTGTAAATGTATACATCAATACATACATATTATACATAGACAACAGCCAAACTCTGAAACAAATATTTGCAGATCATACAAACATTTGGTCCAACCTCGGAATTGCAATTGAGATCTCAGCGCAGCTATTGCATACGCTACTACTGCTCCATCGAGGCAGTGAAAACATGTGCACTGGGTGACTAAAAATTTAGGATTTTATGAAATTTGCGCATTGCAATTCATTTAAGTGTAAGAAACTATTTGAAAATTATTCATGTAGTTTGTTAAAATACTTACAGATTCGATTATGGTTGACGCTAAGCTTGGATGTAGGTATTCTTCAGGCTCTTGTTCAGGCTTTTCTGTAATTAAATATTATATTTCAAATGACATTCTAAATTATTTTCCTACTTCTACTACGGGTTCTAATTGCTTATTGACATTGAAAAACCTACCTTTAAATGAACCTAATGCAATAACTAGCTTTATGTAAAATATTTAGTATAATAATTTAGAAATATAATAATACTTTACCTTCAACCTCCTCATCTTTTTCAGGCCACTTGCCACTCTTCACCAGTGCAATCAGAGCAGAATAATAAGGGTGAAGGTTTGATTCCTTGGCCAGGAACTGAAACTGTGGATTGTCACTCTGCTTTGCTTTTATGAGGATTTCCATTTGAGCACCCTGGGTTGCTATGAAGTTTGCTGTTTTTTCTATTATTGCATTCAGTTTTATGGTTTCAGGCTGTCAAAAACAGAATTTCCAGGTGTACAAAAAGCCAAACAATAGAGATTAGTAATTAATGTTAGTGTAACATTAGCACTTCAATATATTCACTATTAGTAAACTGTTCAAATTGACCTCTTTTAGAGGGAGTGAAGCCTATCCCCTTTTAGACAATCCTAAGCCGACCTTAAAGCCTAGTTAAGATGAAGAATTCAAGAGGAAACTTGTACATTTAATGAGAATCTCTCTTCTAGAACATAATTTTTGGCTTTGGTATTCTCATAATAAGAAAGAAAAGAAAAGGTGCTATACAAGGACAATAAAGTACGAAGAACATAATAAGAACATAATAAATACAAGTTACATAACTTACAAACACAATATCTGAAGGAAGAAGTTCTCTGAATGCAGGCGTTGGTATATATGGTTCATCTACTTCTGTGGTTGGCTGTGATGATGGCGATGGCTCCGCTGGTGTTTCATAGTTAAATCCTACTTGTCCATAGCCAGCTGCATGAAGACGCTTCAGCTCTTCTTCTATGGATTAAAAACAAATTATTGAGTGTGTTGTCAAGTCAGCAGATGTTGTCAAGTAACATCATCATCATCATTTTTTTTTAAAGAATAGTCAAGTTTAAATTACGATTCATCTTGTAAATACAACAATGTTAAGATATAACAGGAAAATATAATTGCCCTCTTTTTGTCTTTCTTTTCTTTTTTAAAAAGACAACTCCCGCATTATGAGTATATCCCGTGTCACGGGGGACTTTACAAACATACATGAAATGGAGACAAAGAACACCCAGACTCAGAACAACAACTTGTGGATCACACAAAGTGTTGTCCCATGTGGGGTTGGACCCACAACACTCAACATAGTAGTGAGCGGTGTGGGGACCGCTTTAACCACTATGCCATAATTGCAGTCAGTCACTCAAAACATTTCTACCGCGATCAGACTTTGTTATGTGTTATTCTTCTTATTTAGCCACATACCATGAAATGTGGAAGGCTCATTGATGTATATTTAATTTATTTGCAAGCATAACTGCGAATAGCAAATACGTCCTGTTGTCTGTGTTTTACACACATTAGAGGAGACAACATGTCAACATGTTTCTGGAATTATCAGATCCAGCCTTATGTCATCATAAATTAACAATGCCTGGGTTAAAATAAATAATAATACTCACACATCCCACATAGAACTGTGTGATCCCAAACTAGGTAGAGCTTGTACTATGGTAACCAGAATGCTGATAAACATACATATATATTTCTACATTCTACATACATGTTATAGATAAAGGTTGACTGGAAGAAAATGCCTATGGCATTAAGTCCGCCTTATGCAGGAAGTAATAAATAAATTACACCCTGACACAGAACAAATGATCCACACAGAAAGCAATAAAACACATAAGTCTGGTGCAGGCATATGACTTTTAAAACATCAAAATTTCAAACATTTCTAATGTTACCCAGAACATTGGAATAAAAAGAAAAATTAAAAAGGTTTGTAACTTGCAAAGTGGGGTAAGAGTAACTTAATTTGTAGTAATGTGTGCAATTATTAAATACAAACAACATTGTTAACCTTTATACATTTCTTCTTCATCTTCATTAGTGTGCAGAGCACGATACCTCTCATCATCACATAGCTGTTCAACATCCTGTTGATCCTTAGTGAGTTCAACACGCCAATCGTAGCCGCCTGGTGGAGCCTCAAGCCTCGACAGGTCGTGAAGAGCACCCCTTGCATCATACCTAGCCAAATATTACTACATATTAATTGATGACTTCATAACAATTACAAAGTCAGTGTTTTATCACACTGATGACACAGGAAAAGTAATAGGAGTAATCAGAAAATACTTTAGTTTTTGTTTTCTTTTAAATAGTTTACATTTGCAAACTAATTTTTTATTGATATAAATTTGAGTACTTAAGATATATACATTGTGGTTTATTTTTGTTGGGATGTTAGTAAAATATTAGGTAATTTTATAAAGCATGGGATTAACAAAATGACACTTAATATTTACATATATGCCTACACTTAACTTACAGACTAAAATAATTCAATATGGTGCATGTAAAGAGGAAGAAATAATTGTCGGACATATTGGTGAACGCTCACGTAACTTAATTATTGATATAATATTTATGAATTCCTGGCTCTTAAACATTTATAAGTATACATACTCAATTGAACCGTTGCAGGTTATACATACCACCGGCGGTTGTCACCATAACATTACACGACGCCGAGAGAACTCGAGGCGCCAGACGCTCGTGCTGTCCCAACACCTTTACTTCTTAGAACATTCTCTGCGAAATACTTAAGTCTTCCGAAAATTTAATTTTTTTTTCTGTTATACAACTATCTTTTGTAGGTTTATAGCGCCACAGTTAGCAGTCTTATAGTAAAAAACTGATCGAACCTGTCGATTTTCAACGTTTCATCCCCCATCCACGGAATGAGGTGTTTTCCTTGATCAATGTGAAGGGCTTTATCATCGTCCCTGAACAATTTGCACGAGTAGCCAAACACGAAAAGATCTTCTTTCTTCTCCTTATATTCACTCTTTCTTAATATACCAGACTCACTTTGACTTCCAGTCCACTTTACAGACATTTTTATTAAAAAAATTGGAAATTACAAGCACACGAAGCTACGCAACATGATAAGAAACAGAAACGTTCGGAAATAATGACAGATATATTTTCTTAAAACTACTAGTTTAGTAAATCAAATGTTATAATGAGAATAAAATGCATTAAATATTTGATTAATTAATCAATAAAGAATATCCAAAAATCAACAATATCAATCATTTTAGTTTAAGTTTTATAGTATTGGTCTATGTATAGTGCAAGTTCTTTTTTATTCTTACTACTCCACTTCATAATGTTTACAAGTCTGTAACTGTAACTCTACTGTTGTCTATATTACAACAGTACCCCGTGTAAATGTAAGCGTACGCACACTTATGACGATCTTATTGAATGAACATAAATATGTAGGCTAAGTCATATAACTGTTTTTCAATCCAGCTGATTATTAAAGTCTCATTATTAGAGGCAGGTACATAATTAAATTGGAGACTAAATCATTAATTACTCTACCCCAGTTTTATAAAACAATATTGTTACATTTACCACTGTTGTTTTCTGTGAAAAATCTCACATTCATGTCATAAACTACACATGTTACTGTGGAAAGTAGGAATTTTTTTGGTAGTTACCCATCGCTCCCTATAGTGACTTTGTGACGTGAAATTTTCGTCCTATTTAAACTAAAATTCGTTTTTCATAATCCATTCTCTTTCCCTGTTTCAACTAATGCTGATTTTTCATTTCTAAACGCTACTAAAAATATTTTAGATTTATGTATTCGGTGCATATTGGTCTAAGGAAATATGATTATGTTGCAGTATTCCATAAGCAACTGAAATAGTTACTTGTTCGGTGTGCGTTGAGACTACGTGCGTACTAGTGCGTTGAGATTTTCAAATACTTTCCTTACTGAATTATTTTTTTCACAAGCCTACCTTTTCTCACAAGCCTACCTTTTCTCAAACCGACGCGAGTGCGTACTGCGTTGACTATTATACCCGGTAAATCCCGGGCTAATATTCAAGTTTGTTTTTTAATTCGTAGTTTTTTTTTCAGTTCTAATCTATTAATCACAAAATTACACTACAGAATATTTTCATTCTAAAACGAAAATGTAATTATTCATGATAAATTTGTAACACCCGTGTTATGTTAACATATAAAAAAAGGCATGGTATGGTATGCATTTGTTCCCACTTCTAAGAAGTAAGAGCAAGAAACGTGGTAACTTTTATTCTTTACTCTTTATAAAGTTCCAAGAGTCAAAGTTAGTGTGTCTTTTAATTTACTAATCTTGCACCAAGCATTTATGTATAAACCCTACCGTGTGCTTTCGGTAGGGTACCGTAACTTTTGTCATGATTCTTAGGGAAAAGATCCATGAGTCTTTTAGTTGAAGATTATGTGTCCACACATCTCAAACAGAACGACTAGCTGCACGGATGGAGTAGTGGTTTACGCGGTTGCCACGCCGCCGCGCAGCTTTCTACTGCGCCAAGTGTTGTAGGTGCGATCCCCACATGGGACAACACTTTTTGTGATCCACAAATTGTGGTTTTAAGTTTGGGTGTTCTTTGTTTCCGTTTCATGTATGCTTGTAAAGTCCCCCGGGACACAAGATATATTCCTCATGCACAAGTTTTCTTTCTAAAAAGAAAAGAAAAAAGAAGGGATTTTAGCCTATGGTGGTTAAGTGTTATTGGCTCAATTCTTTTATTTTAGCTTACTCTAGTGTTCCATCTCAGGTTATATCTCACTCAGTATAAAATCAGTTTAACAAGAACAAAAAACTTTCAACAGGCTGTCGTCAACAATTTTTTTTTTGACAGCTAAATTAGGTAAGGCTTTAATGAAAAAATATAACGTATTTTAATTGTCAGATTTTTCAAATGAGTTGGACTTAAAGGTATAGTTATTTTATAAATAAACACGAGATAAACCACAAAGATCGCCATTTTTTCTAAAAAAAAATAAAGAATGGCAACTGGACAGGCGAAACAACTAGATATAATACTGACAATTTAAAGATGTCGAAGTTTATCGAATAACATGTAGCTGACTAGGTTATTATAGTTGGTTGAACTACATACGTTTCAAAAGGCATATGGCGGACGTTTTATATATTTTTGCATCGAAAACTGATAAAATCTTTTAGTTATGAGTATCTTGTGACCGCTAGAGCGTATTTGTTAAAAATTAGATGATAAAAGTTAGTTTTAGTGTGTATATAAGTCTATTATACCTAGAGTCTTATAAATATTGATAGTATTTTCGTGCGTGGACGTTTTGATCCGTATTGTTGAAAAACGAAAAGTCTGTGATATAAACAATATACATAGGTGATAGATTAATTTCCTGAACAATTTTGTATATATTGTAAAGTTGTTATAGAATTTTAGCGAAGGTAATATATTGCGAGAAGACTGAATAACTGAGTGGAGGACTTGCGAGCTATGTCAGCTGTGAACCTATTGTCTTCTTTGAGGGAGAAACCGACCGATGAAAACCCGAATGATGGCTCGAACCCTGAAGGTACCTACTTTAACTCTACAATTCAATTATGGAATCTTTACCAAGTTTTTCGTTATACCTGCAATTACTTCGTTTATATGCTGTTTCTGCAATTTTCAAAACATTGGCCCTGATTGGTAGATATTTGCGCAGTTTTATTTGTTTTGCATAGATGTAAAGCTGCTGTGACTAGATTTTTTAACTTTCTTTGAAATAATCTTTAAACTGTTGCCAGTTCTAATCCGATATTGTTTGTTTATGTAGGTCGCATTTAGATCAGTTCATAATCAGTAGGTACTGTTATTCTCATATAGCATCATCAAATTTATGCCTCATGTCGTAGCAGTGCGGCCTAATTGCAGAAAAAGCACCTGTTATGATTCTTTATTGAAAAAAGGAGAATGGTATGACATTTCAATTAAGTTAGCTATGTGCTCATAATGTGTAACAACATTAAAACTGCATATACTCATTTTGCAGTTTATAGGCTTATGCAATTGTATGCAATTACACTTAAAATTTTTAGTTCTAATTTTTTGCATGCAAAGTCCTATTTGGTTTGGTTGAGATTTCTATGACTAAGTCCTGCAAACAAATCAATGGTAAAAGATTACCAAGATTAAAATTTAATTTAAAAATAAAATACAGACAAAAAGTTACGAATTTGCAAGTCAGTTATGTTGTAGTCTTCTGGAGATAATACTTGTTATACTGGCCATAATTTCTGGGTTAGAAGAATGATTTATGTTAAGAAACACATGGCTTAATTGATATGGACTGAAAGTTATACTTTTATATAGTTTTTTATAGACTTCATAAATATCATTGCATGTTTAGGAAATCTTATTAGATTTGGAATTTAATAATAGGACTTTGATAGTGTTTGATGAAACAGATGTGGTGAAGATGAAGTTGAGGATGGGTACTATGTCAGCTTTTTATATCATAATGCACACAATGTAGGTTGTGTAGGATTGTAAGACACATAGGGAAAAAAAAATCATTTGCCTTAGGATCTCCATTTTTGCTACTAGTAGTATTTAGAAACAGCTTATTATTAATATTTGTTAAATATAAATAACTAGACTCTCAATCTTATTGGTTGGTTTAGGAAATATTTAAGTTACATCATGTACTTAAACTTTTTAAACCATTATCTTAGCTTTGCTTGAGTACTAAAAAAGGAGCAGAATCACTTAACACTTTCAAAGATAAGTCATAGGCATTGTTGCTGAATAAAACTAATTCTATCCACAATTAACTTTTATGGCTTGTTTTGTAGTGTTTTTCCAGATAAAGTTTCAAAGGGTTACATATTAGAATGCTTATAAAAATCATAATCACCAGTGTTTTCTAATTCTGGTTATCATTTTCACTCAAAGAATAACAAAAATTTTGTGCAAATAAGCTTGCCCCTACTTATTTTGGGTAGCTTAAACTTGAGCAAAAATCTACTCTTTATCTCTTCACAACAGGTCACTCATTTACTTAAATTATTTAAGTTTTAAGGTCCCCAGGAAAATTACAAAAGACAAATATTACCAAAATACAGTGGATTTCGGTTATAGAGACGTCAGACTTGTGTCCCTTGAATTTAAAGCATACATACTTTCTTTGGGAATTCATTCAGCAATAGGTACTTGAGATATAACGTCAATTTGGGGTATAGCGTCTTGTTGTTATGAACCATTTGTGACAGATTTCTAGAAGTTCTATGCGACTGAGTCAGAATATTATGACTCCTAGACATACATTTACTGTTAAAGGAATGATTTAGACAAAGTCATTTTATAGTGGTTGGTAAAGATTGTGAAGAAGTTGCCAGTGTTTCACAAAATGACTGTGACAGTTGGATACGAACAGTTTTGCCAAGGTTTACCCACGAGGACACCAACAGTCAATTATGTACATGACTTTCTGCTATTTTCGATATAGCGACGACATTAAAGTGGTCCTTTCAACATTGTTATAACTGAAATCCACTGTAGTTCATTGAACCACACTAAACTTGAAAGTGTTCCTCACATGCTTCTAGTCTAAAAAGTTCAAGACTCATTATAATCACTCATTAGTTTGATGTATTTTTTATTAGGCAGTATATTACATACATTTATGATATTGATACATTAAGGACTGGTATTGCTGGTAAATCAGACTAAGTGCCATCTTCGACACAAAATGAAAAGTTGTTTTTTTTTGTATTGAGACTGATTTATGCAAACATGTGTGAAAAATAACCAACAAGTCAAGAATATTAAAAATATTGTAAATTATGAAAATTTTGATTTTGTTAAATTAGTGACTAAATGTATTTAATTGTACCAGAGGCAGTCAAATCATTTGAAAGTCATGAACTTTGTACAGTAGCTGTCACTAAACTGAAGATCACAGTAATTTGCCTTATTTTCATTTGAGAAATAAGCGATATGCAATGTTATAGTAAAATAAGTTATACAATACACATAATATAAGTTATAGGTGAGTATCATATTCTATCGTGCGTGGAACTCTGGCGTCTCCTTCTGCGAGCAAGTTATGCTCGCGAAGGAGACGGCGGAGCGGGACCGGGAGAGCTTTAGAACTCTCCCGGCCCGCCAGGCCCGGGAACGGACCAGGTACCGCAGGCGACTCAGGCGCCGGAGGTCGCAGAACGACCTCCGACCTCCATAAACGCAGGCCTGGGGGTGACAGGTGAGGCCATCTGTCACCCTAGCAAAAGCAGGCCGGGGTGGCGGCGAGCGCGTTGCGAAGCGCGCTCGCTTCCAGGGAGCAGAGGGAACATAGGGTTCCCACACGGGGGGGTCGTCTACTCGTCTGTAGATGGCCCGAGGTATGTCGGGGCACCTGGGACTTCCTTTCTAGGGTATACCTGGTTCCCCGGCTATTAGTACCCGAGACGGCGTGCGGTTTTAGTCGGTTCGAGTCCGACATACCATTCGGTGGTATCCGAGGGGATTTCCGCACGGAAAAAAAAAGGTGAGTATCATATTTTGTACATAACTAGAAAATAAAAAAAACATTGAATTTGCCAACAGTTATTGTTTCTTATAATCCTACACTGCCGATAAAGAAACAGGAGTGATGGCTAGATTAGTTACGCCTCGTAGGCTAGCTTAATGAAGACTGAAATACGCTTGCCTTCCAGACTTATCAACCCATAGGTCACACTAGGCCGTTTTCGATTTATTAATTAAAATTGTGAGTAAGAAAACATGAATTAATGGTGTTCATGTTTATTAAAGATATACGATTTTACTCACATGTATATTTCGGGGATTCCCGACTCGTTAATTTTCGGGCAATTCGAACCCGACAGGTGCCCTTTTTATGCGTTCTGCTGAGGCTGTACTAGAACCTGTTCATCTCCTCAAGTTGGTATAGACGCTAAAGAGACAGAGCTAGTCGGCTTTGTCTGTATCCATACTTTGTCCTTTGCCAATCAATTGGACACACAAAAAAGTCTACAAAACGAACTAGTATCGCAGACGAAAACAGCAACGCTTGACAAAAAAAAGTTTGTTTTGCAATACCAAAGACCTTGTTGAGGTTTTCTTATCGACCAGGTTCTCGAGCCCTACATATTTACCTAAACGCGACATCGCATTGTTTTAATTCTCCGATCAGACTTGTGCGTGTATAAATATCAGTTCGATCGAACACCGGCCTTAAGCTTATTTGACTTTTTATTTTGTAGAATGCTCATACACATTTGTAGACACGAGTAGCGCTGCTGCTAGGGATAATATTATCTTTGTAGATGTGTGGTTATTGCGAAAATTACTGTCTATAAGGGTGGAAACCAGTTCTTGCTAGGTTACCTTGTACATGTTTTTATAATCTCTTAGATCTTAACATTCTACAAAGGGTGGTGACAAAAGAAAGTTGCCAGTATATAGTTATGTGTATGGATGGGCCAAAATATAATAATAAGAACTTTATTTCGGAATAAGGCCAGAGTTTTTGTATACATTTTTTCACTTAAAAAACTATTGTTAGTAAGGTGTACAATTTAGTTTAATGAGATTATTTTTGACTGTATGGAGCTCCATCCACCTTTTAACGGGGAATCTCGTCCGTTTGACTTTAAGCAAGCAACTCTTAACAGATCTGTTTAAAGTTGTATAAAAAAGTGTTCATACATTATTGTTCATCCGTTTATCTACAAGCTCGTTTCAAATATTCCTACATGCAGGATGCCGGTAATACGAAAGACTTTTAATAAATACATAAATCAACAGTGATTTGACAGCCAACTCATTTTTTAAATTGACGATTACGACGAGTTACTATTTTTGTTTGTGTATTTTACTAATATTGATTTATGTGCGTTAGAATGCACAAGCAATGCCATTGACTGAATGCTATAGATATAGAAGAATTTGGTGGGTGATTCAACAAAACTAACCGTCCATGAATCGTTCGATAGTGGTAGGTGTCAGAAACAATAGTGACTATGTATAGTAGTTAAAATATAAAACTAGCTGACACGCGCTACTTCGTTTGCATTGCGTTTCATTCGAATAAATCTCAAAAGAAATAATTTTTCCCCGTTTTTGCAACATTTTTCATTGATGTCGGCTCTTATTCGTATTAGCGTGATGTTATAAAGCCGTCCTCGTCGTCCCTAAAAGAATTGTTCAATTCGAACCAGTAGTTCCTGAGATAAGCGCGTTCAAACAAACCAGTGTTAAAATATTAGGTATTAATTATTTTCCTATTTCATACTAATTAGTAGATATAATAAATATATATAGAGTAAAATAAATATGTATAGTGTAATAGTGATTGTCCCCCTTCGGGCAAATACTCCATTGTACATTTCGTATTGAAAAAATCTTTACAATCGGTATAAAAAGCTTTTATATGGTTGATCTTTAATGTAGTGACTGCGTAATACGACCCTTTGCTCTAAGAATTTTGCATGCTTTTGGGGGAAAATCCGCGGGGAGTTTCAAGGTCAATCGCAGACGGCACAAGTCCGTTAACAAATACCAGTGTACAATGCTACTTATAAAACATGT